GCAAAGCCATAAAGCAGGCAACAACATCAACAATTGTGCGAAGAAATGAAATAAATTGAAAGAGAGGGAGCTTGAAAGAGAAGCTTGAATATTTAACGAGCAACTCTCCAGCCCGATGTCAGTGCTCTGGCAATTGTGGGCCCCATTGGCATGTCACAGCTTGAAGGCGACATAATCAAATTTAAATCATGTCGCACTTCAGCACCACCAGCCCCACCCCCTTTTTGCAACCCAACCCATCTCCATCTCCATCCCCATGCCCATGCCAATGCCTCTACGCACCACGAATGAATTTGATTTGAAAATTAACAAATAAAAAAATGCCACAAAAATATTTAAATGTGAATGAAAAATGTCAACAACAAAAAGAGCGCGCGCTTGGAATAAAACGCATGCGGCGCAGCCATTGACATTGTATGTGCGTGTGTGTGTGTGCGTGTGTGTGTGCGTGTGTGTGTGTGTGCGAGCATGTGCAAGCGAAGTGTCGTTAATAAAAAACTCAAGTAATAAGTAATGATGGCAGCCGCTGAGCGCGCCGGAAACGCCTGCAATTTGCCACAATTGAAAGTGGCTGCCGCCGCCGATGTTGCCACCGCCCATGCCCATACCCATAGCCATGCCAATGGCTCTGCCCCTGCCCCTGCCCCTGCCCCTGCTCTGACATTGCCACGTTGCCAATCCTGTGTCCCTCGCCCTGCGCCCGCAACCGAGCGCACAATTGTTCCAATGCATGAGGCTGCTGGGCTGCCATGTTTTTCTTTATTTTTCTGTTTTTTTTTTTTAATATTCTTTTCGGTTTGGCATTGACGCGCGCCCCTTTTTTGGTTGGCTGCGGTGTTGCACCCTCCTTGCCACCATTAGTGGCAGCAACAGCGACATCAACAGCCTCATTGTCGCTGTCGCTGTCGCCGACGACGCGTCATCTAATTGAAGTCATTGCTGCTTTGCATAACGGCTTGAAAAAGCAACACCCTGCTGCCTGCTCTCGGGGCGGGCATTCTGCCTCATGCCTCATGCTTCGCGCCCTTGTCCCATGCCTCGTTATCAAAATAACATTATGAAGAACAACAAGAACGAACAGTGGCAACAACACAAAAGCTTGCACACCCTTTGAGAGGCTACAACAAAATTATATAATGTGATTAACTTGCTTGTCGAGCGTACTCTCCTCTTCCCATTAACATCCTAATGACCATCACCATCATCATCATCATCATCATCGGCATCGGCATCACCATCATTAGCGCAAAGCGGCGGCCACTTCTCTCCTTACACTTCAATTGCATTTCAAGAGTCGCGCGCGCGTTCCTCGATTCGCAGCCATTTTGGAAATGTTTGCAGCCCTCGTGTCTGTCGCTTAGTTTTTGTTACGCAAACTAATTTTTCACACCCCTATGCCGGCGACCGATCGACCACCACCACCTTAACCCTCCCCTCCCCCTTCCCTTCCCTTTCCCCATCCACCATATTTAAATGCTAACAAACCTTCAAACGCTCGTCAAACACTCGCACCGTGGTGCAACATTCAAATTTCATTTTAAAGGACTTCGATTGTCATTCAGAAAACAGAAAAAAAAAAACAATCATTCAATCCTGCATGCACTCTTCAATTAAATGTTTTCTGTTGAGGAACATTTGTTCGTTAAATTAACTTTATTTCACTGTAATTGTAAAGATTATTGACATTAAGACGACTAAAGATTGTTATAGAGAGAATGGAACAAATTAAACTCGTAAGCCAAAAACTCTGCTCGCGGAAATTTAATAAAAATATCGTCTTTACTTTACTTTATTGCCAGTAAATCAGGACAGGCAATAAAGTCAGTTCTCCCCTGCCCTAGAAACATGTTTTGAAATCAATATTAGTCTAAATTCCCACTTCTTTACGTTCACGTCTCCCTCCCATCTTTTAATCCTTTAACATGAATAATAAGAAACATTATTTGTTCCAATATCTAGTACCTTTGTCAGCTTTTTTGTTTATTGGCTTCCGCATTTGTCTTAACCTACTTCTAAGTTCTCCAAATTGTTGTACTCTAAAATGTGTCGAGAAAATGTTCGCACTTCAACCAGTAGTCCACGTCCAGTAGTATACTTGTATGTTTCCAATTGCCGATATATAGTATATATCTACGTGTTGGACAATTTTTGGGAAAATATCAATATTATTGCCACAGACATGGATATGGCTGCGTACATTTGTTTGGCTTTCTTCAATGAGTCAACTGAGAACTATAATTTATCTAATTAACATTTAATAATAATCTCCATCATATTACTATATAACATGTCCTTTAATCAAAAGTTTTTGATTGGTTGTTTGGGTGTTGGGCTTTTAATTGACTTCGTATTAAACTTGGGACCACTGTAAGTTTCCAGTTTATTGTGTTTTGTTGCTGTTGCTGTTGCTACTAATTTGTTTTTGTTCTTCGCTTAACAACCACCAGCAACGGCAGCAGCACCCCTCTGGCTGTATTTGCTTGCTGTTGCTTATTTTCTAATTTGCTTGTAAATGCCTTCCCAGCCCTAAACTGCCTCAAGTCCTTGGCAAAAGTTGGCCATAAAAAGCGTTAGCTCGCTTGGCTCGGTTGCTTTCAATGCTCGCTCGTATCTAGTGTTTGCTTTTTGGTTTGTTGAAGTACCTTTTTAGCACCCGTCCGTCCACCAGTCCATCCGTCCATCCGTCTGTGCGTCCGATCATCTGCAATCTGCCCTGCCTGGCCGGGCTGTCCTATAAATTGGTTCGTCGTCGTCATTAAGCACACACTTGGCCACTTCGTATATAAGTAGACTTCCATATAGACACACACATACACACGCACACACACACACACACACGCTCACACACACAACCCTTGTCAAGCGCGTCCTCATTCAAGTGTTCTCAGATGATAAATCATTTTTCTGCCCTTCCAACCCGACCCGTATTTAAAATTCTCGTCAACTTTTTTGCTAGTTGTTGTTGTTGGGCGACGAGGAAATTAGAGCAAATAATCCTATTAACATATTTAACCATAATAATGGCTGTGTATTGCAAGGTTTTGAGGACGGATTGCTTGTGAATTTCCCCACTAAAACAAATAATTCGCATGCGTTTTTTTTCTTTCTCTTTTGTTCAATATATTTTATGAGGTAAACTTTTCCTAAAATGCTGACAAAATCAACTTTGAAGGAGTATTATGAAATGGCAGCTAGCCCTCATTAGAATCTAACCAATGTTCGAAAAGTTGATTGACATTGATTGACCTCTGGCGCATGCATAGAAAGGCCATTTGCATTCCACAGTACCAGCCTCAGTATCAGCTTGGGTCCGCCTGAATAACTCGGTGATGATTGTGCTCCAAAGCTGGGGTTTCTGGCGTTTGTTCTTGTATTGGAGTATTATTGCTGCTGCTGTTGAAGCCAGCCTGAGCTGCCTGAGCACTGCAATTGGAGGACCATAAGGACATTGACTGGAGAACGCTGGATGTGGAGATCTGGCTGAACTGGGGGCAGTTCTAAACTGACCCGATGTGACCTGAGAGCAGTTCTAAGCTGCGAGGGTAAATGTTCAAGGTATAGACGAGTGAGGTACTAGATGAATTCAAATCTCAATTAGGTACTACAATACAACAGAAAATACGAGTCTGGAAAGCCAATTTTCTAAAGCAACGACAAATTCCATTGCTTGATTTTATATCTTAATCTGAATTGTATGTGACAATTATTATTTAATATTTCAATTTAAATATATCACTAATGTGTAATAAATTAATACATATATTACATGTGCTAAGAAAAAGCAAGAGAATGGCTTTAAATCGTCAATAAATATTACTGTATGTGTGATTATAATTTAAAGTAAATATACAGTCATATCTGATTAATATCTGTTTAATATACTCAAGTCCTCTAAAAAAAATGTCACAATATGAAGTCGACCACACAATTTATTAATATAACGCACAATTTCGTCTTCAAATGGAACGGAGTTGCATTTGTTGAAGTTTTTCCATGGATCATATGCATAAATTATTTTGTAATACAAATTTGTTATTTCATTAACCCACCCCCCTTCGGAAAAAGCTGCGCATGCCCTTGAATATACTTTTGTTCTTTTCTGTTCTTACACGGTAGATTGCATCATTGATCAAATGTTATTTTAAATCGTGCTAAAAGGAATAATGTCGTGTCACCATGTATAAAATTTGTAATTTTCCAACCGTGTAAAAAAAGAATTAAGTGTACACCTACTTCTGTTTTTACACGGTAGATTGGTTCCAGAAACAACCGTATAAAAAAAGACATTGATTATATTCAAAAAATAGCAATACTTGTATATATGAAATTTTCAATTTTCAAGCCCTGTTATATAAAAATCGTGTAAAAAAACCGTTTAAAAACAGAATTAGGTGCACACTTATTTCCACAACCTTGCTTCTGAAGAGCGGAACTAAATTTCGTTTGAGCTGTGAATCGAACTGGTTCACATTTTCAAAAATGAAAGCAACGGTTTAAGAACCGTTGAGGCAACAACGCAAGCTATTTTTCCAACTATGCCCATTATCTGTTCTAAGCGTGCAGGCTTACACAAAACACAATGCGCACGAGCGGGACAACAGTATGTATTAGGCCACCTGCAGCTAAGGCGACAACACATGCGCCATAGCAACTGATATTGAAATGCACTTGTAAAGACATCTAAAGACGACTGTACTGATGAGTCAGGCAAAAACAAAAATTTTCTTTCGGCAATATAATGTGTATATGTATGTGGATTGAATTATCGAGTGCATTGCTGCATGAGCAGCAGCAGTTTGTTTCAGTATTGGAAAATTCTGCAAAACCAGAATCCTATTGTGGAGCACTTGCGTCGCGTGCATTTTTTCTTGCATTTAATAAACGTATTAGGTGTGGAGTTTGTGCCTAGTAAGTATGTTTGCAGATGATTTGAGCTGATGATGAGTGTTAGTTAATGGCTGATGTACTCCTGCAGACATTATTTATGCACATTTTGCAGCATGAAGCACATGGGAACTAAGCCGAACCACATCATCTATTTGACTGACACGATTATTAGCCAAGCGATTTGCAGAAATGAGGCAGCTTACAATCTGATTTGTGTTGCTTTCGAGTCACGGCTCTCGCTTTTGTCGCTGCAGCTGCCGGAGGAGAATGGTGATGAGTTCAATTGGAAATATGTGCAAGATATTGAGCTGCTGCCGCGCGGCACCCGCTGCCATTTGATGACCTTCTCGCCAGATACTTCGCTCGTCGACAACCCAAAGAGTGTGACAATTTGTGCTGCCGTTGATTTGTGCGAGCTAAGGATCTACTACACCGACCTGGCGGGTTCCACCCGTTATCAGCTTCTGAAGGACCACACAGCCTACATTAATGACATTTCGTGGGTTTGCGGGGGCCGGGCGATTAGCTCGGTGAGCGACGACTGCACCTGCAAATTCTGGAAGGTTGAAAAAGACTCGCCTGCAGTGACCTTTACCACATTCTCCCTAATCTCAGCTGCTGTGGCCGTTAGGCCCCATCCCACTGATCCCGAGATAGTACTGGTGGCCGAGAAGCAGGGCTTTATTCACATATATAATGTGTTGAATAATCAATCGATGTTTACGGTTAGGACGCCAAATTATCCGCTGATGTCTGTGGATTGGAGACATACCCATCGCTCGCTTATAGTTGCCATGGCTGACAGAAATATATTCATCTATGATATGAACCGACCCCCCAAGCCGGTCAAAATAGTTCCTGTGCATGAGGATATTGGCCGCATCGTTCGCCTGGCACCCGACCCCAACCGTCTAATGTTTGCCAGCGTCGGGAGCCCCAACTCCACAATGAAGGTCATGGAGGCTAACTCCACCGATCCTGTGTTGGACTACGAGCTACAGCAGTTCAGCGGCTTAGATTTCCATCAGAAACTGCCGTACATAGTTGCACCGTGTGATAGGCGCATATTCTTCTGGAAATTGAACTTGAAGTCGATTCCCACCAACTTCTAGTCATGAATTGAACTTCAACAGTGCCTTAAACTTTTATTTTGATTTGTTTTTAATACCGAATCGCCTAAAACAATAGTTGATCGAAGAACATTTTTAAATGTTATGTTAAATATGCAAATTTTTATATATATATTTATACATAGCATGATATCGGCTCACAAATTGTTTAAATATCATTTATACACCAAAAGCTAAAGAAACACAAGTCTGTAATAAAACAAATACCAAATGTGTTCATTTCAAACCACAATACTTTGCAGTTATTTCCAAATCTAACGGCTACAGTATTTAGTGAGCGACTTAAATTAGTGACGAACTGAATTCTTGGCAGAACTATAGCTTAAAGCAGCCACTAACGGTAGTCGCTAATTAGCAAACTTTTAATTAACTTTCAAAATGTATGCTGCTCCACTAGCGAAGACACAAACCAGGCGCTTGCCGCGCCGAGGACGTGTCGATTGCCCTGCTAAATTAGCTATAAAGTGCTGTAGGCGCCATCTGTTGGCCTAAAACAGCACAACATGATAAATTGTTGCATTTGAAAGAAAAACATGGCTGGAAAAGAGTTTTTTAAAAATATACTTGTATGTATTTATTCAACAAATAATCAAAACTAAAATATTGCAAATAAAAATAACAACAATTTGCTACACATATAAAAAATATAAAAATACATACATATGTTTGTGTGCACAAAAATGCAGTCAGGCAGAGAATTAAAGAGTTAGCTTTTCGCCAGAAATCCGCTCTTAGCCTTAGAGGTGGACTTCAGCCGTGCGTGATACGAAGAATCACGAATGGCAAGCAAACAAGAAAGAAGAACTCTAACAATAATTCGAATTTCCTGCACTAAATTGAAATATTGTGTAAAAATTGATGTTACTGTTATTTCATGGAAGTTCTAGAAAATTTGGTTTGAACGACCTCGATGAATTGGTTTAAGTTATTCAAATTTTAAGTATGTTCGACTCTTAAAATAATATAATATTTAAGTACGAGAGAACCAAATATTTAGAACTACATATATATATCATTCATAATTTCGAACTATTTTTGCAGATTATTGCTATAAATTTATTACATGCTTGTCTTAAAGAGGGTTGCTAATAGTTGGGAGTTTCTATTTGTAAAATAATATAATATTTAAGTACGAGAGAACCAAATATTTAGAACTACATATATACCATTCATAATTTCGAACTATTTTTGCAGATTACTGCTATAAATTTATTACATACTTGTCTTAAAGAGGGTTGCTAATAGTTGGGAGTTAATTAGTTGTGTATTTTCTTACCATTGTTAGAAAAAGTAAAGTATTGTGTATTGGGTGTCTCATTTGCTTTTCATTATTAGTTGCAACAGAAAGACGCTACATGCCTACTACAAGTATATAAGTACATATGTGTATGTACATAGGAGTATGCATTGATTTAAGGGGCAATATTTTGTCTATCCATAGGTATCGTAGGTTGCGGGTGCGCGTGTCTAAAGCTCGATCCATGCACAGCACTAACCCTGTCGATCCTACTATATACATAGGTATGTATGTAGATGGGCACAATAAATTGTAAGCCTTTTATTGACCGACTCGATGGCCAACTGGCTCGAGTTGAAGCATACGAGTATAATGTGTTGGCCGCCTTTTCTCGTTTTAGCACTTCAACTTTCTATTATCTATGCGCTCCAACTTCGAAGATAGCTGTTTGTCACGACTTTTTTTCGACTCTCCGTTCATTTGATTTATTTGTTTTTCATTTTTTTTTTTTTTAGGCGAGCCATTCACCTCGCTGGTAAATTAATTTTCTCACGTTACCCAACCAGAGAGAAACAGCGACAATGGCAAACGAATAATGAACAACAATAATAAATAATAAACAACAAATAACAATGCTCACTAGCTTAACAGCGCAGGCGAAACAATTAAATAATTGAAAATTAAACTTGAAATCGGCAACAACAGCAATAGCAACAATAACAAGAATAACAACAATAATAATAACGATAATAATAATAATTTGGCGGCTAATACAAATTTGTTCAACACTTGTACGGTAAATGTAATGTTTTCCTATTTTTTCACCTATTTATTGTTTATTAATGTTTGCCATCATTGTGCCATTGTGCGGCAATTAAGGCCTCAGCCTAATCACAAGACAAAGCTGACAGCAACAACAACAACAGCAACAACAACCAGTCTGCCTGTGACAATAATATTGTGTAAAAATGGCCAGCACTTGCAATCATTATGTTGTCGGTGTCGGACAACGAAACAACTTAATTACACAACAATGGGCAGCAGCAACAGCAACAACAACAACAATAGCAACAATTGTGGTTTTGGCAAGTGTTACAACGGTCTTTAAGCCATTTGACAGTCAAGATCTCAAACGCCTCTCCCCGTCCTCCTCCTCCTCCTCCACCATCACCCTTTTGGACAGCAATCGCTTCAAATGATTGCCCGAAAAATACAAAATAGGCAACAAAGTAACTGAACTGTAATTGCTCATAATTAAGTTTGTCGGATTGTGCGCTTTGCAGTGCCTTAAACAATGCATAATAGGTAAATAAATAAATCCATTCAAAGACACGCTCTCGACACTCATAATTGACATTCGAACACTCTGGTCTTGTTTTTCTTCAATCGCCTTCTCATATACATACCTATGTGCATATGTATAGTATGTATATATATTTTTTTTCTGCCTTTATGGGGAGCTCGCAGCGCGCAACTTTCGCACTCCACATGGCCACTTGAGGCGGCAGCAGCAGCAGCAGCAGCAACAACAACAACACATGAACAAAGAGGTGAACACATCATAGCCAGATAATTAAATCATTCAACGGCTTTGGCTGCCACAACTCGACTCTGATGTCAGTTGACTCGCTTACCAAAAACAAGACTGCCACGTCTGGAGAGGGGCTTGGAGAGGGAGAAGTACTAGTGTCACAAACGTAGAGCGAAATGCGTTCCAAAGGATCTATCCATCTCTAAGGATAAAGTCTAAAGTTGACATGACTCTATGTCCACTGATGTCGAGAATTGTTGGAAGCAGCTGTCAGGTCCTTATGGCTGCTAAAAGCACCTCATATAAATGTTATACGATTTAATTGTCAATCGGATAAATAAATACACTGTTTTTATTTGAAATAGCTTACTAATAAGGAGCGCAGAAATGGATATCCAAATCGTTGTATCACATTATTAGAAGCTGTAGTCTATTGCGGTTTGAGATTCGAAACAATAAGCCCTAAATACAATTGTAAACAGAATTATAATATAATGTATAAATTTTAATAAATTATGATAAGTAAGCTATGCATACACGTATAGTTCAAGCGACCGTTTAAAAAGTGGTCTCTAAACGTTTGAAAGGGGATTCCAATTTTAGAGACAACAAAGCCTAACCACACATACAAGTATGCACAAAATACCCAATTTCTTCGGACCATCGTAGTTGTTGTGGCTTTCATTTTGAGTCGATGGCTTTCTATAGAATATTTGGGTGTGAAAGAAAGGATTTGCAGTTATGAAATGAAAAAAGCGACACCGTATTGCTATTTTATCCAAATAAGAAATTAAAATGTTTCTTATTTAATTATATAAGGAATAACTTTATACAAGTCGTCTACTCCTTTGAAGCAGGCTTCGAAAATCTTGCCGGCCCCCATCTAAAGCTTTAAATGGCTCCGAACAACTCAAGTGAAACCTTGGAAAAACGAAGAGTTAAACAGAATCTTAATTATACTGCTATTTACTGAGACTAATCCAAATTATTGTTAATGGTAGTTCTATGTTCTTAGTGAGCAAAATTTCCTGCTATTCAGCATAACCTTAAGGACTTTCCTTGTAAACAGTTCAATATGAACAAAATAAAAAGTAATCTAATCTCTAAATTTTACAAACTTGCTCTTATTTATATCAAGCAACGCCAATATTGAAGCCACTCTGAGTCTTTAAAGCTACATCGCTTGGATAATAATGTTGCGACAGCATTTTGTGCCTATCACAGATTAAAATATTAAAAATAGACAAGACACTTTAGCAACCAATTAAATTGAAAAGAAATGGTTGCATTTCATAAACATTGTTTGAAATATGGACAGCAATCCTATACAGCTATTAATTGAAAAGCTTTTGGGGCATTCGACTCCAATTAATAACTCCATTGCTCCGAAGAAGACGTTTCGGTCTTGAGTTATTTTCGTTCTCAAGTAAGGACAGAGCTGAGAGCACAACAAGCCCCCCTTTTAAAGCTGCTTTTTGTTGTGCGATGGCTGCAGTCGATAAAATGCACCCTGTATCCAGGATTTGTTGTGGCTGGGCTTGTGTGAACAATACGTCAAAATATTGGCAAAACAATGATAAAAATATCGCTCTACCTAAACGCGAGCGTGAGAGATGCTTGAAAAGGGCTTCGAGTTGAAGGACATTTGGCTGTCTTACGAATCGCAGGGCAGACAGCGAGGCAATGCCATTCTTTTTGGAGCCGTGCCACTTATTTGGAGCATAAACTATAGATACTGCCTCTCTTACAAAACTAGGCCTTACAAAACTAGACTGCTGCTAAAAACACGAAACTATGTCAGCGTATCGCATTACGAATGTGGATCATGGAAACCCAATATTTATTTTGACAGCTATAAGTTTTCTTAGTTTCCTTTTTGTTGTGGACTTGTGTGTGCACCATCCTCGTCCTGGCATCATCGTTTTATTGGCAATGCGCAGCGCAATTGTAATTGCAAGTTAATTAACAATAAAAATCAGTAAACGAGTCGGTCGATCGAAGAAATGCGAAATTCGCATTAAAAATCTTCCCTCTATGATTCATCGTCATCCCCACAGAGTCTACAAAAAATATCGTATTACCCAAACAAGCGAATTCCTGCGGCACGCATCTCAATCCCATACCCAACCAGTCTCTCTACCTAGCGGCGCGACGGCGATCCCACACGATCGAGCGACGGCAGCGCTGCCTATTCCGCGCTCTCTCCCTCTCTCTCTCTCTCTTTCTCTGTATTGCTCTCTTAGTCTGCCTCGTTGGCGACTTGCCGTGTTCATGGCAGACTGCGTGGCCGCCGTCGCGCAGCTTCTAAAGCCATGTGCCCCTTGAATAATTATTAAATTATTCCGCTTTACGATTATTTATCCGCGCTTTGACATTTTAATTGTTTAATTGCGAATGGACGGACGGACGAGACAGGCGAGACTGACGATTACGCCGAGGCCTAAAGTACCGCGTGGGCCGCGTGGCCGCTCTCGAGAGACAGAGATGCGTGAGAATTCGTTCAGCATTTGTTGCCCCAATTGGGGGCAGAAGTTCCTCATGGAACCTCGCTTGCCAGCCACGACAATTGACTTTGCCATTTGGGGACTAAAGAATATAGAAAAGAATCTCTTAAGTTGACAATAACTATTAGAAATAACGTTTACTTAAAAAAAGTAAGTATTTTGTAATGAAAACAAAACTTCTTTAACTATGTTGCTGAAGCATAATGAATTATATAGAATTTATTAATTTATTTTAATACATATCTCAACTTGGACGTGAAGTCCAAGTCGTTCCAAGTAATAGGAAAACCGAATACAAATATTTTCGAGTGTAAAACAGAGACAAAAATAGTGTAGTATTCCTAAGTCGGTTGCATATGTAAGCATATATCGTCGGCAATTCTATTAGTTATTTAAAATCAATGTTGATCTGTAATTATCAATAGTAACAGATTTAAGCGGAAAACGACTCCCCAAGCAATGGAAACATATATATAAATAAAAAATATGTCCAAAGAATAGCAAAAAAAAGTACTTGTATTTACGAATTAAAAACAAATGTTTAATTGAATCGCTCAACATTTAACCTGAAATCTGGCAATCCCATGTAAACAATATCTTTAATGTATAGTTAAATTATATATATTTATAATGAGAGAAATGCCTTGAAACCAAAGGAGTAAACAACCGAACTGAACTGAGCCGACATGAGAGCCGTTTTGTAAAATCCATTAGAGGAAGAATCTTATGAGAGTCTGAGGAAACGAGCCGCCAGGAAGTGCAGATGAATTTAAAAAACAATAAAGCTATATGTGTGGTATATATTTTAAGCCATTTACCTATATCTACAAAACTAATAATTGCTCCTGAGTGAAATATTTGTAAAGAGAAAACTAAACTCAATATTGGGAGTTCCATAAAGTTGCTGCTAAGTGTAGATCCATTGAACAGCCCCACTACTTGTATAAACAAAATCAGACGATTGTTCAAAATTTGGCAAATTAAATCGAAGCCTGGCGAGCACACTCAAAGCTCCGTTTTGGCCAAAGAAAACTGCAAAGCTCTCTCGCAGCAAATCTAAAACATAGTCATAGATGTATATCATGTGTAGTAAGTATTTCTGCACACACACACACACATATGTGGACACAACATACATACTTACATACATACATTAGCTTCAGCTGCAGCCCCGCAGTTACAGCTCCTCTCGCCTGCCGCCTGCCGCCTGCTGCATTCGTGTAGCGCAGTGTGGATGCTAATTTACGCGTTTTAATAGCAAAAGTTCTACAACATTTTAATTAGACTGCTTTTTGTTGTTGCAGCTGTTGTTGTCGTTGTTGCTGCTGCTGCTGCTGCTGCAGATACTGCCACCGTCAACCCATACTCCCATACTCAAGCACCAGCAGGCAGGAGTGCAACAAAAACAACTAAAACAGCAACGAGAGCGTGTAGTTTTACTTACTACTCCAGCACATCGTCGAGAGCTTTGCTTTTTCCTTTCTTTTTTTTTTGTTTTTTGGCTATAAATTGGCGTCCTTCATTGAACGAGCAAGCGCGCGGCCCAAACTCTGTCTCGGGCTCGGGCTCAGGACTCTGCCTACCCACCCCTTCGTTGCTCACAAAATGGGTGCGCGCACACACACATGCAAAGAAGCGCTCGAATGCGACACGCACACACTCAAAAGTTGTGGCACGCACACTAACAAACAACACCGGCTAGCTGGAAGCATTCCAGTTCATATTGGAAGTACGGCATGCGTTCGAGCAGTAGTGCATGCTTGCTATCGGCAAACACTAGTCGCTCTCCTCTAACCACAGCGACAACAGCAGCAACAACAGTGCGCACATGCGCCATGTTGCCAATCCATGGCGGAGGGGAAATTCCAATGGGCGCGCTCTCGCTTACTCTCGCATGTCTGAGCGACGCAACTGATGACCGCAGCCGTTGCTCCGACTGACGCCGCCCATGCCGCGACCAGCAATTTACCGTTGCTGTGCTGTGCTGCTTTAGCCAGAGGCAGCGCAGCCACAGCTACGTCGACAGCAGCGTTGACGACGACGACACCGGCGCGTGCGAGGACTACTTAGAGCTTGCTGGTGATGCCTTTGCTGTGTTGCTGTTGCTGTTGGTGTTGCTGTTGCTGTTGCGTTTGCTCTGGACCGATGCCAGCGATGCCGTTAGCCAAGCGTTTTAGTCCCGTTGCCGTTGCCTGGCGTCTGTTGTCGTGCAACACTTTTTGGCTTGGCCCAACCACCAACGCAGCCATCGATGGCGACGACGACGATGACGGCGACGACGACAAAACTCTGGGTGCACATTAAGTCAGGCAACAGTTTAACGTGGAAATTATTGCGAATTTGTTGTGTGTTTTTGCGACAAACGACAAGCGCGCGCCGTCACGCAACAGCAGCCCACAAAACGGCGAGTGTTGCATGCAACAGCCAACAGCAGCATTAGCCATTTGCCATTAGCCATCAATTGCACCAACAATTGCAGTAACTTTAATTTTTTTCAGTGCAATATTTTATAGTAAAAAGAACGTGCGCCTATAAGCGGCATACAAAACAAAAACATAACTCTCACGTACACAAAGCACACACACACACACACAAACGCACACACACAGCCATGTACATACACAAATACGCACACGCATCATACGAGTACACAAACAAAATGCGCTCACGTATGTATGTTTGTATGAGCTTTTAATTGAGTGTGAGTGCGAGTACAATGTTTGGGCTCCCAAAACTGTGTAATTAAGCAAACAAAGAGCGGAGATAAGAGCCGCCGCAGCGGCAATAGCTAATACGCAACTGAGCCTGTTAGTGCGAGCGCGCGTGAGAGAGCGCGAGCAGGCAAGAGAAAAAGAGAGCAGGAAGACAAAATGCCGCAACGTTCACCGTTTGCCATACAGGAGTTGTTGGGGCTGGCTGTGGCGGCAGCGGGAGCGGGAGCGGGAGGTTCCACGACAACAACAACAACAGCAACAATAACCACACCAACAACTGCTGGAACAGCAAGCACATGTGAAGCACCAACCGATCTGACAACAACAACAACAACAACGACGGCAATCGGTACAGCAAAATCAACAACAGAATCGCGGCAAACGCCAACACCGCCGAAACCAACGACAGCAACAGCAACTGCAGCCACATCTTTGGCTCAATATACAGCAGTTGCCAGTTCGGTGGCAACAACAATAACAACTTCCAGTCCCAGCCCTGTCCTAAAAGTGGAGCACTATCGCGACCAGCAACAACAGCAACAGCAACAACAACAACAACATCATCAGCAACAGCTGACCATGGCAGCGGCATCACGTATGGCCTACTTTAATGCTCATGCAGCGGTGGCTGCCGCCTTTATGCCCCATCAGCTGGCGGCCGCCGCAGCTGTGGCCCAACAACAACAGCATCAGCAGCCACCGTTGCACCACCAACACCACCACCATCAACATCTTCATCAACAACACCACCCAGCGCATCACCCACACCATCATCATCACCACCAGCATCATCATCAGCTGCAAGGAACCACAGTGCCGGTGGTGGCAGCACCACCGCCAATGCCGCCGCACCCGCATCATCCGTTGCTGCATGCACAGGGTAAGCTTAAACGTGTCGAATGCTAGACTCCCGCCCGTCCAACTCCTATATATACATATATATGTACATATCTATATACTCACCACTTCGTTATATAACAAGCTCCTTTTTTTAATTTTTTCCACAAGTTTGTTCTTTTAAAACCTTGTTCCGAATTTTTTTAAAATTGCTTTTAATATTTATGGATGTAGCTTTAGAGTAATTCTCATAAGCTTGTCCTTCCTGGTACTTAGGAATTCCTTGATACTGAGTCTGGTGATTCTAGCTCGTTTACTTCGTGAGATCCATGCGTTGACTGATTGCAAAAAAAAATAATAATTTGCGGGGCCTGCCTCTGAACGATTTCATAATAGCATTATACCCTTCGGTTACAGGGTATTAAAGCCACCCAACCACTACTCCGATCCACTAAGCCACTGAGTCACAGCCACAGCAGTTACAGTTTAAGTCTCTCTCCACTCGTGCAACGCAATTAGCAGTCGCAACTGGTAGACTTTGTCACCTGCCATCCGCTTAGTTTGCATAAAAAATAAATTAATCAGCGAACCATCGACAATGCCCGGCCTGGCCCGGCCCGGCCCCGCCCGACCTGGCTCCGACTCCGACTCGGGTTGACTCGATTTGTGGTTCGGCCATCCAGCTCCCAAATCCACTCCATTGCCACTCAAGTTGAACTGCTAATTGCAATGGCAATTGCTGTACACACATACACACACGCCACACTCACACGCACACACACACACACAATAACACATCGAAAATGAATGCAATGAGTATGTGCGTGTGAAACAGCAGCAACTTTACCGTGGAACATAAGCGATTTGATACGGCCTGCCCTACGCCCTTCTAATGGCAAACAAATTGCCAGCATTTTGTGATGCTCGTTTGATAGTTCAAATTCTCTTGGCTGCATAAAATTCACTCCACAAATCTGTATTAACATAAATAACAATAGATTATTAATGAATAATTTTGAATTAAGGATTTATTCTTATTCACAAAATATTATAAACATATAACAACAAAACTATCCAAATTCAAACTTTCGAATATAATTTCCCCCTACAATATGGTAGAATAAAAGAGCGCAAGACAGTTGGAAAAGTGAATAAATATATTTCATTATAAATATACCAATTATGCTCTTGGTTGATGTATATTTTCTATTACTAGAAGAAACCTTGCCTAGTCATGTCCAAAGTCCGACACCCATTTGTATATAGTTCTTATCAGTTCCGACTATTTTTACAACTTGAAGCATAGACATGTATTTTGGATATTTTAAAATTATATTGCGAATATATTTCTGAACATCTTTCTAAGTACTAAATTTGGATTGGAAAAGTTGCCCATATTGAACAAACTTCGGCTTCTTGTTTTCAGTTAGCCTTAAAATACTTTTTTCTCAATATATTGATGAGATTATGTGATAGTTGGTAAAACATTTTCCTTATTTGAAAAACTGTAGTTGATTCTACTTTAAGGCTTAAAAACAAATACAATTTTACGAAAACCTGTTTTTTTTTAATCGATGGAAATCTGTTGTTTCGTTAATAAAAATAGGGGAATGTTTATAGTTCACTTAGAGTGATTAAAATTCTGCCGAAGTTTTCTAAAATCCATCATTTACAAGTATTGATAATTTGAGATCAATTCGAATTTAAAATACACAAACAACAATTTATTTTCTGTAATGTAATGTATTGTATTACATATGTATTACATATGTATTACATAATGTATTACATATTTCATTTGAAATTATAAAAAAAAAACAACATATTATTTATAACAAAAGCTTCATGAAAAATATATCTTTTAGCTGTTTTAACTATTTCGTAGTTAATATTTTGGTTAGCGAAAGGCAACATAGTTTTGTTTAGTCAAACATACATATAAACTTAAGTTTTCTCACTCCAATTCAACTCGCAACCAAGCATATGAAAGAAATATAATATATCGATATAGCTTCATTACAGAAATAGCATTTCTGTAAGTCGTTCTGATAAGACATGGAAGAAATTATGCATACATTCTCAATTCTAAATAAATGTATGCACTGCTTGCTGATATTAAAATAAATTCAAGCTCACTGCCATCAAAGGGAAAACCAAATAAAAGCCAAGATACTTGTAGATTCATTAAGAAATATCTGATTCGTTTTCAAAGCTTAATGTTAATAATAAACTTTGAACCACAGTCGGCGAGGTGCTAATGTGGCGATCGGCAGAAGGCGAACAATGTGAAGCTGGAAATGAAGTGAATGAGAGGGAGAAAGAGTTAGGCAAAGAGAGAGAGAGAGAGAGAGAGGGGGGAGAAGAGGGGGAGAAGCTTAGCTTGGCGGCTTATTGAATTGAGAGCAAGTGGCAATATCAGCAGAGGCAACAACAAATGAAGCTCGCACAAGCACACAAACACATACGCGTACATATGTAAATGGGGATACATACATACATACAGATAATCTTGCGGTTTAAGTGCCGCGCACAGCTGTTGAGTTTTCTGCTGCTCTTGTTGTTGTTATTATAATTAGCGTGCAAACAAGCGCTGGAAGTTTCTGCGTGTAATTATGTTTGTGCCCCACTGTGCCTTGTTGTTGCTGTTGTTGTGCATCTCAGCTCAAATTAAAATAGCTTTTCTTCGCTCAGCTCAGCTCACACACACACACACACATATATATATAAATACGTACATACTCGTACAAACAATTCTTAATAAGTTCGTCGTTGCGCTAGAGTTCGATTTGATTTTATATAACTTCCGTTTTGACGGGATTTTTTTGTTGTTGTTTTTTTTTTGTATTATTATGAATGTTGTGCGGGTGGGTGTCGTATTGCTTTCTCTTTTGCACCGCTGTAATAAGTCGGCTTTACATTGTTGCTGTTATTTTAATTATGTATACACATGTATGTATATACATATGTACGCATATATGTATGTATGTATGTATATTTTTCTTTATTTGTCTACGTATTTATTTATCGCATTTTCCTGCGCCGTCGCGTAATTTGTTTAATAAATGTGAGAAAGAACTTTGCGCAGCTTTTTTAACTGGATTGTTGCGGTTGTTGTTGGTGTTGCTGTTGTTGCTGCTTTTGACTTTTTTATTCGCGTCATCTTATTTAATTTTGCATATTGTTTGCTTGCTGCGTTGCCCCGTTCTGCTTTTGCTTCTACTTTTTTTTTTTATTTATATTTTGTTGATTTTTCCCATTTTGCCTTTCGTCGCTGTTGTTGCTATTGTTGTTCTTGTTGTTGTTGTTGTTGTCGCCGTCAATTAAAGCCGCGTCAAGTTTTGGCAACAACAACAACAACCAAATAATAATAAAAAAAAAATAAAAATAAACCAGCGGATTTCCTGCCAAGTTGACCAAAAAGGGGCCAACAAGCCACCCCAACAATTGGCGCCTCTTGTTGCCGGCAGCTAGCTAGCCAGCCAGGCCATTAAGTGCCTTTGATCTTTTACAGAGTAGCAGAAGCAGCAACACCAACAACAACAACAACCACCTTGTTAAAAATAGCGTCAAATCGCCAAATTGGTCACACACACACACACACACACACACACATTTCTTTCTTTATTTCCTCTTCTTTACTTTCTGTCACTTAATTGACAATTTTCACTTTGGCTCTCTTTGTTGTGACAGTTATTTTGATGTGTTTGCACAATCACTCACCAAGCCCAACCACAGCACACCACACACGCACCTTCACACATACATATATACATGCGTATGTATGTACCTATGTGTATACATACATATGCAAATGTATGTAGTATGTATGTTCGCCTATTTGCTGTGCACATCGATTGCCGACGCATCTTTCCTTTCTTCTTTTTGTGTGACAAATTACTTTTAACTGTAAATTAACCATTTAGTGCGCCACATTTTTGCAATTCATGACGCCACCTGGTTGTGAAATGTTCGCAAAAAAAAAAAACAACAACCAAACAATCGCAGCTCAACTATTAGCGCTGCACACATGACTTGATCGATTAATTGATCTAGTTTTATCTTAAGATGTGGGCGAGTGGTCCGCAATTATTTCGTTGATTAGGTAATGAGATCATTGGCCATGCCTAGTGACAAATTCGTAAAGTGGTAACTAAATTAGTATCCAAGCGAACTTTCGGGAACTTTAACGAAACATCTTTTGTCCTACAAACTTGACTGTTTGGGTATTTTTGATGATTTGTTTAGCTTCTCATTCCCACCTCCTGCAGATGCGATACACTTCGACTTTTTGACCCAGTCATCCATTTTCTTTCCTTAAAGTATAAATGCAAATTTCGACAGGACTTGATATTGGAATTTCCATATACACACGAATATACAGCTATGTACATAAGTAAGAATGTAAATCCTCTATTTAGATCTTATCGGCTTTTCCCAGAACAAAGGCATTTCTGTTTCTTATCCTCCCATACCAAAGAAATGGTGCCATCATAAAAACAAATCAGATCAGATGTTTGAAAAATGTTTTATTAATAATGTTTTTCATACTTAAACGGATGTACACTTACAATTGATTAATTTATTAGTTGACTTATCCTCTTATAAGTATCGTACGCCTAAAACGGTTTGATGATGTCAACAAATTGTTTGTCAAATTAAAGAGGCTCTTAAATAATGAAAATGTTTTAACAATGTCGATTGAAAAAAGTACAAGAAATGGTAATAAAAGAGAATGTTCGCCAAACAACTGTTAATTAAAAGGGAATAGGAGTATCTCTCTGCACCCTCTCTTTTTCAGTTATGGAACTTATATTATAGATACAGATTATTATACGAGACTAGCGAGAAAGAACTCTTTTGGCTACCATATGAATATATATACATATATGGCTACCAAAGAGATCATTTTTGAAATTCAGTTGCAGCTTTCATACTCTATGTCTGCTTGAGAAGATACTTTTTTCATAGCACCTCTATTTCCGCAGCCCTTTGATATTTGAGCCACTTTGCTAATAGCCCCTGCCTGCCCATTACTTTTTGTTT